CCACCCCATAAACACCCTCTATCCCCTATGGACACCCTGTGCCCCCTATGGACAGCTTAAACCCCTCCATGGAAAACATGTGCCTTGTCACACCCCATAGACACCCTGTGCCCACCCCATAAACACCCTCTATCCCCTATGGACACCCTGTGCCCCCTATGGACAGCTTAAACCCCTCCATGGAAAACATGTGCCTTGTCACACCCCATAGACACCCTGTGCCCACCCCATAAACACCCTCTATCCCCTATGGACACCCTGTGCCCCCTCCAGCTGGATTTGGGATCTGGGCTCAGCCTGGAGCAGAGGCTGCTCCGGGGCTCCCTCAGGACGGGCTCTGGCTCATCCCAGGATTCTCAGGGAAGCTTCTGGAAGCCCTGGGCCGGCTCTGGGGCTCCCTCATTCCCGAGGGATTTCCCTTTGCTTCCCAGATTTCCATCGGGCCTGGGCTGGGCTCGGGGTTGGGCCGTGCCGGGTGCTCCCGGATCCAGGATTTCCCAGCTTTGGCTTTTCCTCTTCCAAAGGGAAATTCCTTTTTTTTTTGGTGGAATCTCAGCTCCGGCTGGGGTTGGATGGGGGAGAGGGGCTGAGGTTTGGGGATTTGGGAATGAAGAGACCCTGCGGCTCCAGGGGAAGGACTCGGCTGGAAGTGAGAGGGAAGAGGGAAAACTTGGGATAAGGAGGGCAGGAAGGATTGATTGGATGGATTTTCCTCAGGCTGGATTGTCCCAGCAGGAATTTCTCCCAGTTTTTGGAGCTTTGGCGGGTCTGGGTGGATCCTTGGAATGCATTCCAGGAGCTGAAGGTTTGGGATCGACCTGGGTGGAATTCACAGATCCTGGGAATTGAAATGCTTTGAAAACTTCCTGTGCTGTGCCCGTGGGATCTCCTGGATCCCGGGGATCCTCGGGATGGGCTGGCAGGTCCTTCGGGAGTGTTGGGATGGGAATGGGAAGGGATGATGGATGCATGATGGATGCATGGGGATGTTGGGAGGGTTTGCAATGGGGACGTTGGGATGGATGGGAATTTCGGGAAGGGGCACAGGCAGGAGTGAGCCAGGGAGGGGGTTGGGGTGCCCTGGGTGTCCCCTGGGCCCTGTGGGGGCACTGAAGTGGCCTCGGCCTCACTTGGGGACATGGGGGTGGCACTGAGGGAATTGGGGGACATGGGGATGGCACTGAGGGAATGGGGGACATGAGGACACTGAGGGAATTGGGGGACACAGGGGGACACTGAAGGAATTGGGGGGCAGGGGGATGGCACTGAGGGAATGGGGAACACACGGGGACATTGAGGGAATTGGGGGACACACGGGGACACTGAGAGACCCCACATCCCACGGGTGGCAGTGCGGGGGTCCCATTGCCCGTCCCCCAAACTGGGGCCGTCCCTGGTGTCCCCTCCCCGCTCCCTGGTGTCCCCTCCGGCCCCCCGCGGCGGCCGCTGTCCGGTCCCCGGCTGCAGCACCAGGGACAGCTCCGCTCGGGCCCCGCGCGGCTCCCGGCGCCGCTCAGCCTCCCTAGAGAGCGACCCTACAGAGCGCCCCACGGGCCCCGTCCCCTATAGAGCCCTGACCCCCTTATAGGCCCCCCGATCCTCTATGGGCCCCCCGATCCCCTATAGACCCCCCGGATCCCCTACAGACCTCAAATCCCCTCCAGACCCCTGACCCCCTGTGCTCTGCTCCCGGTCCCCACAGGGTTCCTGTCCCCTCTTACCGACCCCACAGACCCCCTGAACCCCTTATGGATCCCTCAGCACCCCTGCAGAGCTTCGGGATCCCCTATAGACCCCCCCGATCCCGTATAGCCCCTCTGCCCCCCCAGTCCCTGTTCCCCTCTCGCGCGTTCAGCACCGCGGACAGCTCCGCTCCCGGCCTGTCACCGCCCCGACAGAGCCCCGAACCCGCTACGGACTCCCTGACCGCCCTACGGACCCCCTGGCCGGCTTATGGACCCCCTGTCCGCCCTACGGACCCCCTGGCCACCCTACGGACCCCCTGACCCCACTGTAAAACCCCTGCTGTCCTATAGACCCTCTGGCCCCCCAATGACCCCCTGTGTCTACAGATCCCCCGTGCCCCCTGTTCCGACCCCTTCCTGCCCCTCCCCATCCCAGCTCTCCCTCCTGATCCCACCCCATCCCAAAGCCCCTTCCCTTCCCTTCCCTTC